TTTTTTTTTTTTTTTTTTGTCATCTCTGTTCTTTATTGAGTATCGAATACATATGTACATAGATAATAAATTGTTACATCAGATTCATCACACCTTTCTCAGCAATTCAGATAATTTTTAAACGACAAATACATATCAATTAAACGTAACGTCAGCTGCATAGAGAGCCCCACTTCCCGCGGTGCTTCTCCAGTTTACCTTTCTTTAATGCTATGGAATATTCTACAGTTTGAAAGAATTTAATATAACGAAGAAAGGAATCGAAGTTTAAAGAACTAGTTTTTCTACATCTAAATATATATATTTTGGCAAGTAGGGTTATAAGATTTTCAATTGGGGGGGTTCCAAAGTGTAAATTTCCAAAAATAACATTGAATCCATTTAAGAATAAATCTTTAGTTGTTTTATAGTGATACCAAGTTTTAATTTGGTCCCAAAAAGAGATAACGTTTGGACATTCCCAGAAGACATGCAGGTATGTTTCTTCCTCTTCATGGCAGAACGAGCACAAAGGGGTCTCTATACATTTCCAAATATATAGTAGTTTGTTTGTAGGTAGAAATTTATGTAAAATTTTATATTGGAAAAACCTAGTGGAAGAATCGATAGTACAATGTATTATAGATATATAAACCTGTTTCCAGGGAATAGGGGTGTCAAAAGAGGCACAGCCACTTTAGTTGTACATTATATGAAATATCAATCAAATTATGATGTAACAAGAAAAAATTGTACACATCCTTATTAATCTTAACCTAGTTTTAACCAAAAGCTGTTTCGCTGCATTGGTTTACAGACAAAATCTGGCGCATTACCACATAAAATAGATTTCCATTCTTGCGGAATGGCCGAAATCAGCTGCATATATCTAAAATGATCACAAATATTACCATATTTTATAGAAAATTCTTTAAATGTCATTAAAGTACCTAACTCATTTAATATATCATTTACAAAAACAATATTCCTATTTATGAATGTGCTCATAGAGACAGGTGCTCCATCAATAAGAATATTGTTGTTCATGAATAAAAGTTGTTGTTTAACATCTGCAGCACATGTGGGGGCCTTATATTGATATTTAAACCATGCATCTAATATATCTGATAAGAAGGGGCTTAGCTTAAAATAGTGTATAGAACTTAATTGAAAGAAGGGGGAATAGCCTAGATCCCAACAAAGGATGCATTCTAATAAGCCAAGTAGTTGACCAATTTTCATTAAAATAAAGTTTTGGTATCCATGAGGCCTTAATAGTACAGGAAAAAGCATACAAATTTTTGAGATTTAAACCACCATTTTCCACGGAATTGTATATTGTTTTCCTACTAACTCTCTCAGGTCCTCCATTCCAGATGAATGAAAAAACTTTCCTCTCATATTGTTGAAAAATGACTTGTCTGGGTTTTGGAGAACCTGAAAGAGGTATGTAAATTGCGAAGTAATCAATGAGTTGATAATTGTTACTTTCCCAAATAAAGATAATCCCTTTACTCTCCAAGGGTATAGAAGTCTATCTAATTTAGCTAATCGGGGTTCAAAATTTAATTTAACAATGGTACCTAAGTCCTGTGGGATATGAATACCTAAGATTTCAACATTACCATCAACCCACTGAAGGGGGAAGTGGGTAGGTAATCTAAAATTAGTATTTTTCAATGTTCCAATTCTAAGAATTTTACACTTTTCGTAAATTCAAGGAGAGACCAGAAATACAAGAAAATTTAATCTAAATCATCTAAAAGGGACATAAAATGACGCTAATGTAGGGGCAAAGGGAAAATCCGTATCATCAGCATATTGTGAAATTTTGGTTGGCCTTACCAAAAACGGAGAGGCCAATCAAATCATTATTACCACGTACTTTAATAGCTAACATTTCTACTGCAATAATAAAAGGTAGGGACTAAGGGGACAGCCTTGTCTAACTCCACGATATAATTGGAATGGGTCAGATATATATCCATTGTTTAAAACTGAACTTGTAATGTTATTGTATAAAACGTTTACCCAAGATAAAAACTGGGGTCCGAAATTAAAGAAACGTAATGATTCGAAAATGAAATCCCATCTTACGGTGTCAAAGGCTTTTTTATAATCAGCAATAAAAATAAGTCCTGGTTTCTTTTCGTTTTCGTAATATTCAAGCAAATCTAATATTCTCCTAACATTTTCACCAATAAATCTCCCCTGAATAAAACCGGTTTGATCTTTGTCAATAATTTTTGAAATAACGGATCTTACCCTTAGGGCAAGACATTTTGAAAGAATTCGGGCATCACAACATAATAACGTTAATGGTCTCCAATTATCTAATAATGTTGGGTCCTTATCTTGGCCATTACCCCCCTGTTTCAATAATAAAGAAATAATACCATGCCTTTGTGTGTTGGGGAGGAAACCTTGAGTCAAAGAATAATTAAAACACTCTAACATAGGGGCTTTAAAGACTGAGAAAAACTGTTTGTACACTTCTACAGGAATGCCATCCAGTCCAGGTGACTTTCCATTTGAGAAGGAGTTGATAGCATTAAGTAGTTCATCTTCTGTGATAAGGCCCTCACACGCCTGCATCTGCTGCTCTGATAGTCTCTTATCATAATCTTCAGGAAAAAAATCTTGCAAATTTTCCGGGGTAAGGGGTGCTGGGGGGTCTTTGAAAGAGTATAAGGAGGAATAAAAGTCAGTTTGTTTTTCTAGAATTTCAGTAGGCTTACACGTAAAAACGTTTTCGGAAAGTCGTAATTTTTGAATGTTTTTTCGAGTGTAATTTCTATGTATTAAGTTCAAAAAATACTTCGTACACTTATCCCCCAACTCCATCCATTTTGCTCTTGATATTGTTACGAGTCCCCGTAAACGATAATGGTATAATAATTCTAATTCTTTTTGTTTTTGATCTAAGATCATCAAGGACTGAGTCTGAGGGAGAAGGTGTGTTGTCAAGCTGGATTTCAAGAGTTTTTATTTCATCGATTAATTTCTTTCTTTAGACAAATGTTGCTTATTTTTCCAGCTTGAAAATTTAATGCAATGGCCCCGAAAGAAACACTTGGCCGTTTCCCACACTACATGGGGATTTGCAGTACCACAGTTTATACGAAAAAATTCTCTCATCGCCTCTATGGTTTTGGTTTGAAATGTCTTGTCTTCTAATAAAGATGAATTGAACTTCCAGTATCCCTTCCCCCTTGGAAAATCTGTAGTGACAAGTGATAAAGTAATTAATCTATGATCCGATCTAAAACTGTCAGCAATAGTGCATTTGTTAACCCTATTTGTCAATGAAAATGTAACAAGGAAATAATCTATTCTACTTGCTTGGCGCCTACGACGCCAGGTGTATCTAACTAAGTCTGGATTTCTAAACCGCCATATGTCATATAGGTCAAATTTACACTTTAATTCAGAAATAGCTTCATATGCTTTAGGATGGTAGGTGGAGTTTGTAGATAATCTATCGATTAAGGGGTTTTGAACCGTGTTAAAATCACCAGTAATAATGAGATTCGCATTTGACTCAGGGAAATTATCTAATTCTTCAGATATATTAAAGAAAAACTCAGAGGAATCTACATTTGGTGCATATATATTAACAATACAGAATCTATATTCATCAAGAGATAGATCTACAATGATCCACCTTCCATCTTTGTCAAATTTAGTTTGATAAATATAAGGGTCAATATTATTACGAAACAAAATGGCTGTGCCTCTTTGATTGGAGGTACCATGTGAAAACAACATGGATCCTCCCCACTCGTTCTGCCATCTTTTTTCATCAGCTAAGGTTGAGTGTGTTTCCTGCAAACATATTATATCAAACTGTTTGTCCTTCAACCAAGTAAATACTTCCCTCCGTTTGATAGAATTGCCTAGGCCATTACAATTGTAACTAGATATCCCTACCTCCACCTGGGTCATGGCATCTGAAGAATGTCCGGAATGCTGGGAGGGACCGGGGAATGGGGCGCAGCGAAATCATAATGACAGGTGAGCTGATGTAAACAAACAAAAACTGAACAGAAATCAACAGAACAGAGATGCAATAAATCTGGATGGTATACAAAACAAAACAAAGTAACACAAAGTAATGAGGTCAGGATTTGGCTAACCCTGAACATCTCGTAATCCGGCTGCATCGCACAGTAACTGGCTCCTGCATTCTATCGACTACTTTTTACAGATATTCCACTGAGCACTTTGATCATTCACTCACAGATAAATCATCAAATTAAATCAATAGCAAATGATACAACATAGGAAGAATCAATGAAATAACAGGGTGCGCCTTGTAAC